CCAAAATAACATTGTTGGAGGACTCCAGCCTCATGGACAGACTAATGCTGAATATGAGGGCTTGCTGCTTGAGATGGATTCCTTGCTTTCTTATAGCGACTCTTTGTCTTCCTAGAAGGTGCTGCCTACCTTGATATTGAACTTCCAGCGACTGGCCCTGTAGGAAAGAAATTTCATTTCTATCCAAATTACTCAGTCATGTCAGGCCCTCAGTGTCATTCCAGGGTCTCAGTATAATGGTAGGAACTTAGTAATTTGTCTTCATGCCCCACTCACAGCCACATCAGTCTTTTAGAGTCGTGACAAGATTTCAGCATGTCAGGAAGTCAATATGGTGCCAGGAACTCAGCATCACTTCAGCCCTTCAGAATCAAGTCAGGACTTAGAGTCATGTCAAGCCCTCAGCATCGTGTTAGAACTTCAGGATCAAGGACTCTATGTCAGGCCCTTAGTATCATGTTAGGGTCATACCACACATTCAATAACATCAGGATCTCAGAATCTCTTCATGTCCTCAACATCAGGTGGGACCTCAGTGTCACATCAGAACCTTGGATTCATGTCATATCCTCAAAACCATGTCAGGACATCATTATCATGACAGGACTTTGGTATCATGTCAGGCCTAAGTACAAGGACAAGACCTCAACATTATGTGGGACCTTAGCAACATGTCAGGCAATCTGAATCATGTCAGTACCTCAAAATTATGTCAGGATCTCTGCATCATGTGAGGCCCTAAGCATCACAATATGTCCTCATTATTATGTTGTGACCTCAGCAACATATCAGGATGTGAGCATATTGTCAGGCCTTTAGCAACATGTCCTGGTATTGGCACCTCTGTTATCATGTGAGTTCCTGAGTGTTATGTAACAAAATCAACATTACTCATTCCCCCTGCATTATGTTATTTCTTCATTATCATGTCATGATCTCATTACCATGTTAATATTGGATTTGTCTATCAGGACCTCAATATCATATCAGAACCTCAGTACTGTGTCTGTCACTCAGGATTATATTATGTCCCCAGCCTCATGCCAGGCCCTCAGAAAAATAGCATAAGCCTAATGTTGTGTCAGAAGCTATGCATCATATTAATCCCTAAGCATTATGTCAGGATGTCGGCATCATAGTAGGTCTTCAGCATCATGGTAGGTCTTCAGCATCATGGTATTGTGTCCAGACCTTGACGTCATGTCTTCACCTGTGTCATGAATGGATCCCTCATATCATGTTAGGTCTTCTCTTTCCTGTCTGGACACGAGTGTCATGTTTGATACTCAATCTTACATCAGAACTTCAGGATTGTATCAAGACCTAATTTCACGGAAAGCCTTCAGCATCATGCCAGACCACCTGTGCCATGTCAGCCCTCCAACACAAAGTGAGGACCACAGCACCATACCTTTCATCAACATACAACCTCAGTATAATGGGAGGACCATAGCATCATTTTAGATGCTTGGCATCATGCCATGGCCTCTGTATCATGCCATGCTTTCCCTATAATGACTGAACCTTACCATATCAAGGCCTCAGAATCATATTAATATCTCAACATCAAGTCATTTTCCAAGTATCATGTCATATCTTTGCATCATACCAGAAACTCAGCATATCAGTCTTGGATACCATATCCTGCTCCAAAAATGATATAATCACCAATAGTACCATGATGTGTACTCAGAAACATGTCAGGAAATCACTGGGAAGTCCACACCTCAATATTAGGTATAAGCCTCAGCATCATGTCAGAGCCTTACTTTGATGCCAGGACTTCAACATCCTGTCAGGACTTCAGTATCATATGAGGCTGTGAGCATCAGATGTGGACCCTTTCATCAAGGCACGGCCTCAGTATCATGTCAGGTTTCCTGGTGATGCCAGGGCTGCAGCATCATATCAGCCCTTCAGAATGTGTCTGAACTTGAGTGTCACTGCAAGACATTAGCATACATCAGATCTTTCTGCAGTATATAAACCTCAGTACCACGTATTGCCCTTAGTATCCCACGAGGGCTTCATCATGATGTCAGGACCTCAGCATCATTATTAGTTCTTTGCTGTCATGCCATGACTTCAGGATCATGTTGGACCTCAAGTATCATGTCAGTCCTTTGGTATCATATAGGGACTTCAGCATCATGGTAGGCCCTCAGCACGAGGCCCTTGGCATGACACAGGTCATCATGTCAGACTCATGGCACTATGTCAGGTTCTCAGTACCATGTTACAGCCTCAGCATCATCATTTCAGGCCTGTATCATGTTTTCAGGAACTCACCAGCATGTTGGACCCCAATATAATATCTGGCCTCCAGCTTCATATAAAGACCTCAGCATTGTGCTAGACCCCAACATCAATTATATCAGAGACTCAGCATAATCCCAAGACCTCAGAATCATGTCAGGAACTCAGCATCATGTTATGTGTCTGTACCATATAGACACTGAGCATCATTTTGTGCCCTCAGTTTATGACGTAACAAAACAATGTACATGGACGTCAGTGTGGTATCTGGTCTTGCTGTTGTGTCTAGAGCTCAGCATCATTTTGGGACCTTGTTTCAGTAGCATATCAGGACATAGAACAGTGCTATAACTGCAGCATCATCAGGACCTCAATGCCACGTCAGTAACTCACCATCGAGTCAGCCTGCAGCATCATTTTAGAAACTGAGTATCATATCCAGGTCCTCGGCATCCCCTCAGATCTTCAGTAAGTGATCAGGGAGTAAATGCAGTGGCAGGTCCCTTTCTGGCACGTCAGTGCTTTACTATGATGTTAGGACTGTAACCTGAGGCCAGCATTATGTAAGGACACAAGCATCGTGTCAGACCCTCTGAATCATCAGGAGTTCTGCATCATGTAATTTCCTTAGTATTGTGTCAGGCCTTCTGAATCCATCAGAACAGCAGCAGCACACCACGACCTCAGCGTTATCAGCCTCTCTGTGTCACATACTTCACCTTTGGCATCCTATTAGCTACTCAGCAACAAAATATCTATCTGGACCTCTGTACCCTTCGAGGACCTTTGTGTCATGTGACACCTTCAATACCATATAAAGTGCTTTAGATCATATAAAGTGCTTGTTAGGGCTTCAGGATCTTGCCCAGGCCCTCAGTATCCATGACAGGATGTCAGCAGTGTATCAGGCCTTCGTTACTTTAAGGTAGAGATCCCCACCCCACCATGCCCCCACTTCTGTGCCCCCACTTCCGTGCCCCCACTGCCTCCTCCCAATAACAGGACACTCTGCTCCTGGCCTCCCAATCCCCCCTCCTGTATCCTCAGCATCCCCCTCCCCCGCCCCATCAGGCTCTCTGAGCAGAAGGTAAAGCTGTAAAGGATGCTCAAGACTCTCAGACACATCTATGTTTATTTCTTTTCCTGTCAGAAAATTTCAAGAATTACACCAAAAAATACTTCAGCCTCTGCTACCTACTGACAAAAATACACCACAAAATTATAAAGCGCTCTGTGGTTTTGCTAGGGACAATTTGTTGATCGGCTTCAGATGACAGATGAATTTACAGGTGACTCAAGGTGATGGGAGGAGGGGGGGAGGAGGGAGGAAAAATCAGATGATCGTGTTTGGCAGGATAGCTTGAGCTACTCTACTCCTATTACCCAGCTGCTGTGTAAAATGATTTCGGCAATATAGCAAGCCACAGAAAACACCCTTAGATGGCCTGTTGGAGAGGCCCTGGGAAACAGTAACACATGTCAAATGAACAATTCTTCTGGCCAGTTCTGGTCCTCTTGGGCCTAAAGCCAGCACCTGCACAGAAAAGGGCCTTCCTGGAGTGCTCCTGGGAAGCAAGAGGTCCCTGCTTATGTGCCCTGGAATGGGAAGCCTAAGGATGCTAGCCATGCCCCCTGCTCCCTACCCCCCAGTTAGGTGCTTCTGGAACCCAGCTGGGGAGTTTGGATGCTTATCCTCTGTCAACACTACAAAGTGAACCAAAGACAGCTACCTTCTCTAGCTTCCTTTAGAAATGACCTGCTACCATTGCAGGCCCAATCTTCAAGTTTCCTTCTGGCCGTCTCTCTGATTTCTTGGCTAGGATCCAATTGTTGCTGCTGCTGTCATTAGCACTTTGGAAAAGAGCAAACATAAAACCTGGGTGCCTATGCTTCTAGCCGGACCTGGGACCACCCACCTGACCTGTTTCCTGGTCACCTCTAATCCTTTCTTTCCCTTTCAACCCCTGCCATCTTTAAATCACAGGCAGCATCTAGGGATACACCTAGAAAAAATAAAAGAAAGACAACATCTACCCACGTCTGTGTTTGCTGATGCACAACAGCCTCCCTGTGATTGTGCAGAGCCTAGGTCCCGTGGGCTGTTCCAGGCTGAGCAAGGTTGCCTCCCCCGTGGGTTTGTGCTCATCTTGCAAACTCACCACTGAGTGGTACTCTATACATTTCTGGTTTAGAAATGCCAACATCACCTTTCTCTCCAATTCAGCCTTCCCTGCCTTGCCATGCTCCTCTCCTGCAGACCACAGGCAAACTGAACAGCCCACCCTTTGCCACACAGATACTTGGCCGCCTACACTGAAGCCACACGGTGCCTTACCTAAGAAGCCTGGAGAGGCTGTGCTCTTTACTGCCCTGCTGTGTCTTCCATGTGGAGCCCGTTTCATGCTTTTTATTCATTTTCTCTGGCTCCCCTTTCTGTCTCTAAATTATCCTAACAAAGAATAAGCGGTGGCTTTGAAAATATCTTACATGGGAACAATCAACACGAAACATGCCTTTGTACACGAGCCTGACTTGGGTACGAAGCAACAATACGAAAGGACAAAAGGAAAGATCGATTCAGACAACTCCAGTGCACAATATTTTCGGGGAGTTCTCCCAAGACCCCATCCTGCCCCGCCCCCACCCCGTACCCCAGCAGTACAGTGTTATAGCTCCAGCTTTGCTTAGCCAGTTGGGGGGTTCCCCTCTCCACCCACCCCCCCTACCCCGGCTGGGGCAGGCCTCTAATGGCCCTGGGTCTTGGGTGGCTTGGGCTCATGGATGACGGCAGCTGCCGACAGCCACGGCCCGATGGCCCGTGCAGTGCTCTGCTTGGCCACACTGTAGTGGCTGATGACTGTGTAGAAGCGGCTCCTGGAGCTGGGGTCCTGGGATGAATAGTAAGCATCCAGTGAGGCCGGGATACAGCGCTTGTGCTGGGGAAGAAAGAGATAAGTGTCAAGAGTAGCTGGGTGGGCTGCTGGCACCCGTGGAGACACTGCTGCCCTGTGCAGAAGCTCCTATTTCATTTGGCTGTCAATCTCACCACAGGAGACAGTACTCCTGGGCCTGGCCTCAGCAGACCTTCCCCAATATTATACCATCGCCATCTTCAGAACAGAGGAGATACACCTACTGGTGCTGAGGTAAGACCAGACTCATCTGCTCCTGGTAGCATGACATCAGGTCATCAGTGGCTGTCTGGGCCATTGTCCACAGATAATGACAATTTCATGTCCTTTGTTTAATATATGCATTTCTTTTCTCATATCAAGGTTATTGGTTCCTAACATTAATATGAATTTGTATTATGCATTTGTATCATTCCACCGTGTATAGGATACTCATAACATACTACCAATATTAGCACTCATAGGGAATGGATGTTCAATGTCTTAATATCCTTAGGCTATAGACATCCTCTGTTTATAAGGGTTTGACTTGGGCATTTTCAACTGTCTGATGGACTAATGTGTACCTATACAATCCTGTTTCTCAATTTAACACAGTATTTAATAATGGCATTAAATAGCTAATGTTATAAAGTAGGCTTTGTTCCAGGCGGTTTTGGCCAACTGTAGGCCCATATAAAGTTCTGCCACCTGAAAGGTGAGATGTACTAAAGGGCACTTTGAATTTATGATAGTTTCAGCCTGTGATGGGCTTCTCCTGTCACCTCCCATAGTGAGCCGAGGAGCACCCAAACATTCTACTAAGGTTCTGCATCTACAGGCTACACTCAATGGCTATTTGAAATGCTAGTTTTCTTTGCTGAGCCTCTCCACTTGATACAGAACTAGGTTCCTTTTTGGCTTGTTTTTAATCTCCAGGGTTTACTTTTCCTTATTTATTTATCAAACAAGCCTATTACTTATGTATTTTAAGGGAAATAATACAAAGAGCTAATTCTGGATGAATGCTGCATCCATCCCCGACTCTTTCCTCCCCTCTGGGTATCCATGTTTGGTATTTGAAATTTTTATCTTTATAGAATTTCCTTCTGGAAAAAGTAGAACAAGCCCCTCTCACCTCCCCTCTCTCACACACAGGAAGAATTTTCTTCCTTTGTTTACCAATGTCATCTTGGAGGGAAATCTATGCCGCAAAGCAGACAGTCTTTTTTCGATATCATACTTCCAAAGAATCCCCTTGTGTGGATAAAGTGTGGTTTATTCAGCTCTCTCCAGTACTTGCTGTCACTGTCTCCATTCTTTCAGAACCTCAGCTTTTATCCATTAAGAGCATCACGCCACGCAGGCACATAGCAGCATTAAAAGACACACACTCTCAAGATGGAGCAGCCCCCAATTGATCCCCCACTTTGGAATATCTTCCTAGCTGTGATGCCTTGGGAAATCCTCTTAACTAAATACCTCGAATTTCTGTTACTCCTTATGGAAAATGGGGACAAAAATAATCCCATTTCAGGATGGCTTAGTAGAGATGATGTTTATGGAAATTTCTAGTAAATAGCCTGACAGAAAATAAATACTCAGTGAATGCTGATTATAAAAATTAGCGTTGCCAGGTGGTGGTAAATCCCAGTACTTGGGAGGCAGAGGCAGTTGGATCTCTGTGAGTTCGAGGCCAACCTGGTCTCCAGAGCGAGTGCCAGCAAAAGGAGTTCTAGGAACAGCTAGAGACCACGCCCCCCAAAAAAACTAAGAAAAAAAATACAGGTGATGACCTGTTTCATATTTAAAACAGCTAACTTTATTGCAACTACCATGTATTGAGAGTCTGTTACCCAATGGGCTTGTTTATTTGTTTATTTTATTTATCGGGGTTTTTTTGTGTGCTAAACTATTTAACTTTTTGGGCATACATAATTCTTCAAAGGAATAAGGAAAGCCCCAGGTCATCCAAGTCTTTGAAGGAAGGAGGGCGACTAAAAGGCAATTTGGTCAGGAGGAAAGGGACCCAGAGGATCTGGGGTCTGGACACAGGCTGGGGGAAAAGCCTGGGAGCACTGCTCTCTGCCTCCTGTCTCCTTAGGGACACCCCGAAATAAGGAATCAGCAAGCTAGTCTGGAAGATCTGTATGAGGCAGAGATTTCCAAAGACGAGCAAGTCAGTGTCAAGTGTCAGTGGGCATCCTTCACTGCTCATGCATAGCCTGGAGCTGGCCACTTCCTGACCTTGCTGTAAGCACTCAAGTGCCTGCCTGAGACTGGTCCTTCAGGAAGACAGATTACTTCCTTTCAGCTGTGTTTCAGTTCTTGGGGATAGGCCCATACTCAAATATGGCCATCAGGGAAGCAATTATTGGCAACCACCGAGGACTATTCACCTGCCCCGTGCCCCTTACCTTATAGACAAATCCTTCAGGACAGCTGTGGTCATAGGTGAAGGCTTTGTAAACCACCAGGAACACAATGCAGGCAAGGAAAGCAAGGGCCAGGCTGACAAGAATGGTGACCTGAGAGAAGACAGAACTGAGAGTCACACAGTTTCAGCTCATGTGCTTTCAGCCATGCAGCCTACAGTACCTAAAGCCAAGAGGCAGTCTGGTATGCCGGGAAGGGGAGGGACCCAGCACCTGGGAAATTGGCTGTATCTTGGCTTTGTCACTAACTAAAATTTAGTATGACCCTGAGAAAACTTGGACTCCATGAACTTCAGTTTCTCCCTCCAGCAGGAAAATCTAGAAAGTTCTTTCTTGACTCTCCATGTGCTCTCCCCCTACCTGTTAACATGGGGAATGGTGGGGAAGGCACTAAGTCATCACACATAGGACTGACTGCTTTCCTCCTTTACCACCACTGTATTCTAATGCTAGGCATCAATTGCTTGCTTTGCCTCTATTTGGACACCCGAAAGCTACCTTGAATGTGTCCCCTTTCCGTTTGTTCCCCCACTCTAACTTTATTCTAGCCCCTTTCTTCCTACCACAGGAAATACTAGCTCCACATGGTCAGCACTGAACACAAATCTCATGGCCACCCTTATCTGTGTCCCCCTATACTGCACAGCAGCTGGTAAGGAAAAACTGCCATGACCTGATCACTTCAGTCATTTCCAGACTGCCTGAAGCCATGCCACCTCTCACCAGCAGTACTGATACAGCCCTTAAAACTTTAAAGGCTTTCAATAGCACCATTGACACACAACCATAAAAAGGACTTGGACATTTTATGTTCAAGTGTCCTTTCTCTACCCCCAAAGCATGCAGTCATCACCAACCAACCAGCTCAGAGTAAAGGAGCAACTCCTGGCTGTTAGCTACAAGCAAGTTTTTGTTTAGTGCCACAACGCCAAACAAAAGCAACACCTGGACTTACTAGAAAGGAGTAAATGGTTAATTACAAGCTCACACACTGTGTCCATGACACCACGTGTGTACAAGAGTAAAGGCGACCCCTCCACACCATACTGGGCCTGTTGAGTTCTTGTCAAAATTTGGGTGTATTATTATTTTTAAACAGCTGCTAGCCCATTAAATCAGTTGGCCTAGAAATTTGGTACAGTTCCTCCCAGGAGGAGAAAGTTCCTTTTGATCTAGGAGAAAAATCAAATCAATGATTTGGGGGTTCTCAATCCCACTTTGTCACCCTAAGATATGTGGGAAACCGTAGGAGACAGGAGTCTGTGATACTCTGAATGAGTGAAGCTGTCTGAGGACCCTTTAAATACTGGGTGGGAGGAATTTCAAAAGGGAAAGAAAGTGGGGAGAGAATCAGGCTGAACCCTTTGGGGAACACAGTCCTTGAGGGATTCCTATACTCATATGGACATGAGTTATTGTTGAAGCATCATGCTGTCCTGGCCACTCCTTGCATTACCCAAACCCTCTGTTGAAGCCTACTGCACACACATCAGCCCTCCAGGTAGGGTTGGGGCCATTATCACTCAGTAAAATGAGATGATGCTGAGATCCCACCCAGGTCACTATGCAGGACATAGACCTGAATTGCAGAAGCCCATGGAAATGGGACCTGGGGGATGCTATGCTTCCCCAAATTAGTATTTAAATACACAGGAAAGTGGGTCACCCAGGATCACCACTCACCAATGCCAAGAATTCAAAAGCACTGGTTAGACAGTGTCTAAGACACTAAAAATTTCCATATTGTCCAAGAATCAAAAGACAGAAACAGTTCAAACATTTGCCCAGGATAACCAAATATCATCTTATCATCCCCCCATATTTAATGATCCTACATTAATGGATTCAGTCAACTAGGAACAAAAAATATGTGGAAAAGTAAAATTTTCTATACCGAACACACTTCGACTTTTTCTTATCACGTTCCCCATATAAGAATACAGCAATAATTCACATGAATTTTTATATTGTACCAGGTTTTATAAGAACTTCAGAGGAGAACTAACACACAGAGGAAGATGTACAAAGGTCATATGTAAATGCATGGGAATTGCACATCTGTGGAGGCTGGTGTTCACCAGGGGGTCCTGTATCCAGTCACCCACTGATCTTGATAAATAGTGTGTATCCACATAATATCATTCAGTCATAAGAGGAATGAAATATGTATGACAGATGTAGAGAGACCTCAAAATCATTATAGTTAATAAAAGAAGTCATATCTAAAAGGTCACCATGAAATATCTAGAATAGATTAAACTGTAGAGAGAGAGAACACATTGGCAATTGCCAGGGGCTTGGAGGGGGCAATGGGGGATGACTGATAATGGTCCCAGGTTCCTTCTGGGTGATGAAAATGTTTTGAAATTAGACAAGGATGATGGTCACATAGTGCTGTAAATATTCTAAATGTCACTGAATATTTCGTCTTAAAGTGACTAATTTTACAGTGTGGGAATTTTTACCTCAGGTTTTAAATGCCAGAGCGGAGGGAACACTCTGCCTCCAGGGTGGGAGCCATTTCTGTATGTGGTGACTCCATCAGAGTGCTTTAAAATGTTGCTAGCCTCTCCTCAGGCCCAGAAAGTGGCTTGCCCACGATATCAGGATGCAAACAGTCATTTGAGGCAATATTTGTGGCAACAACATGTCTGTAGACCTCATGCATACAAAGCAGTGAGCAGAGATCCACAGGCCCACCTTGCCACTGCTAGCAATCCCAGGCAGCTCGAGGGGACTCTGGGAAATTCTCCCATCCAGTGAGCACATGTGATCCCAGCCTCTGACTGAGCAGAGTCCAGCCTTGCAGGGCAAGATGCCTAAAGACAGGCATGGTCTAGGGAATCCACTTAGGGTGGGTGCTCCCACTCCAGGGGACACTAGCAGGTTAGAGAAGAACACCCACGGTGCTCATCTAGGGGTATCCTCCCCAGACATATCAGGGATCTCCCATTCCTAACCTTCTCTGAGAGGAGCAGGGTGTGATTTACCAAGGTCATTGAGGCTGACTGTGTGACAGAGAGACTTTCAGGAAACATCACTGGGAAAAGAAGAGGGAAGAGAAATGATGTGGTTTCAAGTCTACTGTCAGAAGCATCAGAGGGACCTGAGGATGCTGGCATCTAGGTTTCCCCCTCCTGTGGATCTAACTTAAAGGACAAGGAGCGGAGTTGGCATCTAGGTTTCCCCCTCCTGTGGATCTAACTTAAAGGACAAGGAGCAAATGGGCCCAGGATGTGGGCACAGTTTTCAACCTTCCAGTGGACTGCAAGGTACACTCCTGGGAAGACTGACTCCTCCTGTAAGCTGTTTGGATTTGGATCTCAGGCTGGCTGTATATGTTATCATGTATGGATAACATTTTAAGCAACCCCCATCTCCTGGATTCACCTATGTAACGACATCAGAATCTCTGGGGTAGAGCCCACACTGCACAATGTCTGAAGTCCCTGGCTCCTTAGTGTGGGCAGGGAAGAGAACACTGTGTGTAGACCCTGGATGGGGTGGCCTCCATGAATGGTGAGTGCTGGCTGAGTGGGGGCTGGGGAGTAGCCTGCTCATGTGTGTGGTTCTGCCCATCAGGCTTGCTTCTGTTTGGATAAATGGAGGCCATGCTGTCTGAAAGCCTTCCTTCCTTTCTCTCCTAGATTCTAGTAGGGATTTCTCTGTGACCAAGGCTGTCAGCATAGGGGGCTCTGGGACTAACCTGGGGGGTGGGATGTGACAGTATGGGTAACTGCAGAGAACAGCAAGTGGGAGGGCAGGAGGCTCTGAGTACAGGAATGTGTACCTTCAGGAAGGTGGCTGGAGAAGATCTGGGCTGTCCTAGAAGTATGGTAGGTTTGGCTCAGAGGAGGCAAATGAGAGAGAAACCTGGAGCGGAGGGGTGGGGAGTGGACATACTCAGCATGGAGCCTTAACTCTAGGGTGGCAGGGAACTACTGAAGGTTTTACACAGGAAAGTGGCTGGATCAAGATTAGGCTTTAGCAAGAGCTAGCCTGGGTGGTAGAGTAGAACGAGTTGAGTTAAAGAGACTTGCTTAGGAGCTAGGGGTTTCTGATTTGGTTTGCAGTGAGATTTTCAGGCAGATAGAGACCAGCTTCTCCCTTTCTGGACTCTCTGTGGAACTCAGAGGTCTCCAGAACCCCATGGAAGAGTGAGCCTTAGCCTTCAGGGAAGGGCCTTCTATTTCTCCACACACCATATCATGCTCTGAACATAGAAATTGGGCTCCATAACATGATTTATTGACTCACTCACAGCACCCGGTTCCTGGAAATGTGTAATGCCCTTGGCTTCAACCTAGAATTTAATAATCTGGGACTGGCAGTGAATTACGTGTTTTTCACGCTAGATGTGAGGCGTCGTGTGATGCCTCGCCACCACCTGCCAACACCTGTCCCTCTCTTCTGCTCATTCCCTCACTCTCTGACTTCCTCATCACAAACAGATGTCAAGGTCTGCTGTGAGCCAAACGCCGCCGTGAGGCAGACAGGCTACTAGGACGGTGCAGTGAACAGTCAGATATCAGATCAGCCCCTAACTGAATAACCTCCCAGCATGTCACAGAGCAGGGCGGGTGTGGGGCAGAGTGAATGGAGGGCAGGGTGGGCTGGAAGAAGCTAGACATAGTGTGATTCTGGGCAGAACATTCTAGACTGCTAAGAACCTGGGGACCCAGAGGACCTAGAAGGAGCCGCCTTGTGACAGGAGAGCTCCAGGAGACACTACTGAGGTGACAGGGACTGGAACCATGAAGCTTTGGAGGCCTGTGCCACCCTAGACCAGGAGAAAGTGCCACTCTGATGTTTTCAGCAGATCCTCTCCCTCTCCCCTCCTCCTCCTTCTGGCCACAGCCAGCCCTGCCTGCCCTGGATACCCAGACTCCTAGCTGCTGCTTTGCTGAAAGCAGCCCTTCCTCCATTGTGTTTGCTCAGCACAGCCGACTAGGCCCCCACACAACCCTGACCTCCCTTGCTCTGTCTGGTCACCAGTTCTGACCTCCAAAGTCACTAACTTCTCTATCCATCCCGGATGCCCCAGATCAAGGATAGAGCCTCTTCCCCCAATCTCCCCTCAAGTTCTCAAGCAA